TTGACATAGGTTTTGAAACTATGCTTTAATCTTAGACTAGTTTTGATATGTCAAAATAGTTTTGGAAACCAACACTATAGTACACCAACAGCAAATTGAAGGCCTGTTTAACAAATATGATAATAAAACACATCCTAATATGAAGAAACCACTTCAAGAATCATGAATGTTGCTATCTGGTTCCAATAAAAATTACAAAAGAAAATCTTGCAGTTGTTAGGAAAGAGCAAAGAGAACAAAACAGTGAATAAAATATTCTCAAATGATTGAATTGCACAATGATTACTTATTATATATGCTTTTTTATTTGTTTACCCAAGTGTGAGAGTAGTGAGGAGAGTGAGGAGAATTTTGAAGAAGCAGCAAAAGCAATTTTAGGAGAATAATTATAAGAAAATTTACAATGAACAATATTATTATTTATTATTTGTTAAATTTGTCTGCATTTTCCCAATAAAAAATCCTCACATATGATTGTTTATGTGTGCTCAACTATGCTTATGTTTATGCTGATATGTAACACCCCAATCTCATTATCATGTAAGGCTTCCAAAAACACTTCTTGTTTTTTCTCTTTAATTTTTTTGCTTATGGATGTTTTTCCAATCCTTTTCTCAATGATGCTAATATGAATTTTTTTTCCCTGTCAATTCTGTATTTTACAAAAAAATTTTAAAATTCAAATTTTAAAATTACTTAAACAATGATGTAATTAATTATAAATGTAACAGATACTTGGAAGCCTGTATTAGTTTTAAAATACTGGTGAATAGGACTTGCATTATTAACTAATGGTAATGATGACACCGACCCTATTATTTTAATTTTTCTGTCAGTTGGAGAGCATTTTATATCAGACTGGGTCAATCATGGGAATAAAAAAAAAGTGCTATCAAAAAAAAAAAAAAATTAGGTGAAAATCTATAAATATACAAAAAGGTCAAACTATTAATACCTGTCTTCATAATTGCTACTGATGGTTCTGGTATCATTACTAATAATACTATTAATACTGCCACCACTAGTACTATTGTTAGCACTGCTACAATTTCTAGTACTATGATTATTGTTGTTGATATTATTACAATATCTTAATATTGTAGGTTGAAATGTGGATGGTGATAAAATATTCAACTTTTGTTGCCCATCATGTAATAAAGCAGCTGAAAATTTTATGAGGAGACCCCAGGACCAGTATATTTTTTTTCTTTTGTATAGTGAAAGAACTTTCCAGCTTCCTCTAAATAAATACTAAATAGAATGGGTGTGTGCGACATTCTAAGAAAATCAAAATTAATTATATTGATTGGTTATACAGAACAGGAGAGAACGTCCTATATAAGGAATGGATTTTCACAATTGATTTCAATTTTTTTTATACAGTTTAAAATACT